AATGAATCGTCAGAAAATTCCTTCGAGCAGGAACTAGTTGATGAGGTTATCACATGTGACCTAGTGCAATATGTGAAATAAGCGACTAGGTACGACCCGAACACTCAATCATCCTTACTAGATCTGATACTCACTCACTATGTGGATGACGTTGCGAACCTCCATTGTATGCCACCTCTAGATAAAAGTGATCACGTAGTTTTAACTTTCGACTTCCATATAACTGTCAGTCACGAGCACGCATCAGCCCAATCCAGACCTAACGTCTGGAAAGCAAATATACCAGGTATCATGCAGTCAGCATCGTTAGTAGATTGGACAATAGACTCAGAGTCCTCAATTGAAGCGGCCTGGGACGCATTTCGAAATTCACACTTAAAGGTTACCACACCCCACATCCCTAGGACTATACCAAGGGGGCCAAGAAACTCCCCACCATGGTTAAGTGGGGAGGTCCGCATCCTTCTCCGTAAGAGAAGAAAAATGAGGGATATATTTAGGTTACCGGGGACTGATGAAAGTAGATCCCAGTATAGAAAAGTCCGGAATACCTGTGCCTCGACCCTCCGTAAGTCTAGAAAGCTGTATGAAGAAAAAATTGTTAAGGAATCCATAGAATGACTTAAACGCTTGTATTCTTACATAAACCAAAGGACAAGGAGAAGAGGAAATATTCCTGCTCTATAGGAAGACAGTACTGCTTCATCATTAGTGGAGGACGACTTTGGTAAGGCTCAAGCGTTCTCGAACCACTTTAGTAATGTACACGTACACTGGATATCGTGACCATTAAAGAACTCAATGTCTTTGGTCTACTAAATAAGCTTGACATAGGTAAATCCACGGGGCCCGATGAATTACATCCTAGGCTGCTGAGGGAGTTATCTAACTTCGTTGTGAACCCCTTAACCATATGATTTAACCTATCCGTAACGCAGGGTCGTTTACCCAAAGACTGGAAAAACGCCATAGTAAGTCCTGTCTATAAAACAGTTACGAAACACAAACCTGAGAATTACTGCCCTGCTAGCCTAACTAGTGTGGTTGTTAAAATCTTACAAAAGATTATTCCGAAGGAGCTGTTTAAGTATCTCGATGAAAGCCGTATCCTTTCGAAGAAGCAGCACGGTTTCAGAATAGGTTACTCTTGTCTCACTAACTTATTGGTGGCTCGTGAAAGCTGGTGCGCTCTTAAGGACCAAAAGTTACCTGTAGACGTAGCCTACATTGATTTTAGATAAGCTTTTGACAAGGTTCCGCACAACCGGCTGTTACATAAGTTAAGAAATGTCGGGATTGGAGGCAATCTATTTTTGTGGATAAAAGACTTCTTAGTTGGGCGTCAGCAAAGAGTTCGGGTGAACTCAACGTTATCTAGCTGGGAAACTGTGCTTAGTGGAGTGCCCCAGGGTACAGTTTTGGGGCCAGTGCTATTCCTACTGTATGTAAATGACCTTCCTCGTCTCTTATCATCGTCGGTCTTGCTGACGATGTCAACATATAGAGAACGATACGATGTAAGGATGATAGCTTAGAACTCCAAAATGACCTGAAGAGATTACCTGAATGGTCTCAAACCTGGCATTTGCCGATTAATACTTCCAAGTGTGCTGTGATGCATATGGGTCATCAAGGTACAGATACATACACGATGAATAACACTGAGCTACCTGTCGTCCAGACACATAATGACTTGGAAGACATCGTTGGCCAAGACTTAAAGACTACTGCGCACTGCCGTGCAATAGCTGCCAAAGGTTTAAGAACCTTATGGTTAATACGTAGGGCTTTTAGTCATGTCGATGCTAAAACGTTTTTGACCTTGTATACAGTGTTCATACGTCCTAAACTTGAATACTGCATACAAGCGGCCAGTCTCTGCTTAAAAAAAGACAGTGAGCTTCTGGAAAAGGTTCAGAGAACGGCAACTAAGCTGATTTCCGGAATAGCGAAGCTTCCGTATGAATCTCGACTGGCCAAACTGAACCTTTTCCCGTTGTCATATCGCAGAAATAGAGGCGACTAGATTACAGTTTTTAAATTGCTTAGTGCCAAATTCGCACGTGATATGCCCTCATTTTTCTTGTCTTCCAAAACAGAGAATTTACGAGGACACTCCGAAAAAGTTCACAAGCCAAGAACAAATTACTTGTCAGCTGACCATCGACTTTCCCATCGAATCATCAGCGAGTGGAACTCATTACCTTAGCACGTGGTTGAGGCTCCATCCGTCGATTCTTTCAAAAGAAATTTGGATCAACTGAGGGACCACCATTGACAGGACTAACACAGGCCATCAGGCCTCCTGTCCTTCCCAAACTGAAACTGAAACTATGCAGTGAGATATATAAAAAGAGACTTTTGCATTAGTTCTGATTCTGTTTTAGAACAGTTTCAAAAGAAGTCTTCCTAGTGTCTCAAATAGAAGAGCCACAGTGTTCGATTATCGATAAGCTCATCGGACTGATTACACTGACCCAAAACTGTGCAATTGACAATGAATTAACGTTGGTGAGTTAATGGTTTAGTAAGATCTGTGGAGCCAATGAGATGACATTAGAACCTAGCCAAATAATTCGGTAAATGAGCTTCTGTGTGCCAAATAGTTTACTAATCCTCTCCAGGGTCAAGGACATCTAATGCGCACCAATTACTTGGTGGACTGCCTTATGAGCCAATCGTTACATTCTGTTTCATGAACCAAAACGTTTTGGAGAGATATTGGTACGAAAACGTTTTGTGCCTTACGCATTCACTGGCATGATCATGGATCATCGCAATCTGTTCTATAGATATAGCGACCCTTACTCAAAATTCTCTTATTTGAACAAGTTCCTGAACAGAATCACTGTAGTTTCGGGCTTGACCCGTGGTTTATGGGAGTGAGTCTCATATAGCTGTTATAGATAGACTTCAATCATCATTCAGTAATGTTGAAATAAAGCAAGGCATCATAGGGCGCATATCTCGACTACTCAATGCTGCAAAGCAGATACACTACCTAGAAGAACGTCGGTATAGAAAACAAAAAACTAGATTATCATATACTAGTAAAATCGTGATTAAGGTTACTTAGTAAGAGCGATTGTAGTGGTACTGGTCATAACCACACAATCCTCAAAGCTAAACGTGAAATAACTAGGAAAATATAAATTCAACACTTAACACGAAATGGTGAACGTGGGAATATTTATTCAATAAATCAGATGGCTTGGCTCAGCCTTGCAGACGTGGTCATTATGTACAGCTTGTCTTTTCTCACATTGTTCTATCTTTAGCTTAAATGTGTTCTTTACAAACGTCAAACGTTACATCGCAGGTTGTTACGATATGACGATTCAGAATAGACAATGATGTGACTTCTATGTATGATCTTATAGATTAGGTTCTCAAATCATGGCATATTTACAATTTTAGGACTATTGTTATAATAGTGCTAATAACGAAGTAGACCATAATTCCCCAGGATCGGGTGCTAAAAAGCACATGTTTACTTTCTTCACTTAGTTGTTTAAATATGATCACGTTAGTGGAAAAATGCAACTACTTACATTCAGCTTAAGAACATATGATAGTAAATATTTGCAGTAACCATTTCCAAACATTCGTTCTTCGTAAGAGACAGCTTTATCCTTAAAACGTGATAACTGTGCGATATAAGGATTTGTTTTTCTCTCCAAAGGTTGATTAAGAGGTATGTGATCACTTCATTTGTGCCACTTGTATGTACTCTCCACTCAAATACATATGATTTATAATCTTCTTCCAATAACCCGATAATTCGCCCTTTAAGTAACCCATTACTAACTCATCAGTTTTGCGGCGTAGTTATATGAAAATGAACAGGATAAGTCTCACACCGTTATATGAGAAGTCACACCACGCTACATGAAATTCGTGCTTCCCAAGAGATTTCAGAATAATAATTTCACCCATGGAACATGATCCGGGTATTTCTACACCTAACACTCTGAATGTCTTTGAACAATGACATTCTGGGGCTTTCAAACAACATGTCACCACACTTTTTTTTAACCCGAAGCGTTCTTGGCAATCACTTAAGTAACCTTACAAAAAAGATGTGATCACATTTTTCTGCCTTTAGGTACTCATGATTTATGCAGCATAGTAAGATGAAGAGGCGTGACCATGAATTATTTTACTCGGAACCATTAGTCCTAATCCTATTACATTATTATTACAATTCGACCTCTATCCACACTGTTGAAGATATTCCTCAAAGATAGAGAACAAAAATCAACACACAACAGTACATGTTAACGTTTATGGTTTACCAAAGCATAGACGGCAAATCTCATTAACAGAAGTGGAAAATTGTGAAAAAATTCACGACATTCCCTTTACTTAAAGAAAAAACTCCATATATTTTTCAAACGAAAATCTCTTATTTATCACCAAAACGTAGGTACAGAAAAACCTTACTATTTCTGCTACGCAATGTTTGAAACTGGGGGTCCGATAGCAAGTGATAAAGATTATAAGAACTAAAATACAAGCACATCTTGATGGTCCAAACGTTTCTGTACAGAATAGAAGAATCTCTCGCTTGACGAACTTTCATATCTAGTGGCAATAGATCTCTGATGCCTCCAGGCAGGAATTTAGGAATATTAGCAATAAAATAGAAAAAAGTTGGAAATTATAGTAAGATACTGTCCTTAATGCTTAAGAATGTATCAAGTTTTCCCTTGAAGTACTCCAGAGCAGTCACTTGGACTGGTTCAACGGGTGGCTAGTCCGTTCTGCTGCATTGTGTCGTCACTTTATATGTGCAACCCTAAAAATATTGTAAATTCAGTTTGTGACTTGTGTAAGACAAAACTTTAGCTCTTGGCTGAAGATTTAAAACCTCCCTCATCATCAATCTACGACATTTATATGAGATATATTGCCAGAAACACTTAAACTTGTTTAGATGTTCTAGATAAATTTCGTGTCTAGGCTTGTATTCTATGCGCGGGTTATGAAATCTCCAAAGAATGGGTGGCTTAACTATAAGAAAATCAGGATGCATACCACCAAAATATATACGCTTGCCCAGTGGAAAATTGTTTGATTGTGGTCGCAAAGTATGATTATATCTCATGTTATTTGTTGCTCACAGGTGTTGGTACATAATATCACAGATTTGCAGTATGTATGCTCTCGTTTAAATATCTCCGAAGATCAGAAGTTTTTCATTCTTACTGAAGTAAGAAATATGTGCTCCGAATAATTTTTAGTATAACGGTGAAAAATGCCTCGTTCCTATTTTTTACCCCTACCACCCTAATAGTCTTCATAACAGGACTTCAAAGTAATTACTATAAAGTACTGTTTCTATTAATAGACTTTTAATCGCATATTATTTATGCGAACAGTTCCATCTCAAATGTATTCAGCTAGACAACCCACGGGATCTTGCTGATATCAAGTTGGTCAGTGATGTCGTCATTGCAAGTAAGTACGTTGTAATTGTTCATGTGTGTCATCCATTTTCCTCAATAAGTATTTGTTTAATGCTCTCAAAGTATCTCTTCACAGTTTTCTACACTGCTTATAAATTGCACAGACCCATTTTTATGTTATCTCAGTAAGTAGCTAAATTATCAACCAATGTAAAATCTCGTTCTAAATGTCTTAGAAGTAAATGAACTGTTTGTTGTTAGAGGAATCTGGATTTAACGTAGAAGTGTATAGACTGTCAAGACGCCCATTCGTTTTCGGGTTTCGTTTAAGTTAGCTGAGAACCAAAAGCATCATAGTTTGCTACGAAGGATTTATGCATTACGAGTATAATTAACTTCACAAAATCTTGTTAGACGTATGTCAAAATAAACTTTAACGCTGACTTGTATGTAATGTGTTCTGGTGATGAAATTCGTGATACGCATTACTAAATTTTTGGCAGAAATAGATGTGTTAAGTGGTCTCATTTTTAAAACAGGAGTTTAACTGGAGTTCTAACTAGTATGTTTGAGGTCGTATGGCGTCGTATCATGTGACAAATAATTTTTCTACGCAATTACCGTATCATATTAAGCTAAATGTTTCTTTAATTGCTTTCCACACCGTAAATAACTTTGTCAATGGCAATTTATTTTCTGATCTAGATAAGAATCAGCTAAATACCAGTGAAGAAGACTCAAAAGCACTGTAAGTATCCATTTACCAAGTAAATATCGATATCCAATACTTATTCAATAGCATTGATTGTTCGGAATTCAAAATCTAAGTGCTAATGTTCTAACTCTTGAAATCAAAGGGGACGCGAAAGTCGATCGACAATTGTCAAAAATGTTTCAGCGACTTTAAGTGATCATTGCAATTTGACACCGAAGTTAAGTGTTTTGGGTGCGCTATATTCCATACCACTACCATAGAGATCGCTCGTGGAAGTACCCGAAATTTTAGTGCTTTTGAATTATACAGATAGTTATCTAACTTAACCAGGGATTTGGTTAGGGGCAGTAATCAATCGCTGGAACTGTTTCATATATTTGCGCTCCACTTAAAATGGCTAGCGAAAATCGCAAACAAATACCTACTTCTCAGTTATTTGGTATTGGTTGGACTTTAAAAGTTAGATGTAATACTACTAAAGGATATGATCTAGTCAACAAGTTCGTAAAATTATAGTTCCTGAATTCATCCAGTACTCAGCTGAACTTCATGAAAAGAAAACACGAGAACATCTAACAGTTTTAAAACCCAAGAGTAACTTCATTCACCAAGTTAATCAGATTGTTGTGATCAAGTGCTTTCACTGACCTTGAGTTAAACTAACTACACAGTTGTTTTATGAAAACGTTCGAAGTGGAAATTAATGTACTCCCGGTTATGGCTTTCGTTCAATCTTCGGTAGATACTTGAATGCATATGGCTGGATGGAGTTTATCTTGATTGCTTTTGTGTGATCTACTAAAAAAATACTTTTCGGTCTTACGTCATATCAGCAAGACTAAAAACAAAGTGACCTCTAAAGATAAACTTCTGAACAATGTGTATAGCTTGATGTTATTTTATTTTACTTAGACGATAGTATTTTATCCTATATTATCACTTTAATCATTATTTTAGGCAAGTTTTCATTTGTTCGAGATTATCTTCAGTATTGGTTATTGTTTACAGTACAGGAATAACTAATAAGACAACCTACCCCGTTGCTAAAATGATTACAACCTCTGGTTTATATAACTATTTGATTTCTTAACCTGAATTCTAGTTTGTATCTTGGGTGCTACTCATTAGACATGTACATGTTTATGCACTCATTTGTAATCCAAATGCTTTATGGAACGTGGTAATTTCACTCAGCCGTTAAATCCGATGGAAGTAGAAATTTAAAACTTCTGACTTAGTCAATTGTCTTTCCACTATATCATTGCTCTAAGCTTGGTATGTGATCCATGGAATAGGTATACTTTACGTTCTGTTCATTAGTATGGTTTATGAATAACTGTGTCCATAATTCAGCTTCCAATGGTAGTAGGACCCATCATAATTATTGTTACATTGCTTGGTTTACTACAAAATCGTTTGATTCGATTGATGTTTTCTTAGAAATTCCTACTATCTGTTTATTGGTCTGCGAGGAGCTTTTTATCTCTTTAATCATAATATGTATCAGTAAGTTGCGATCAAGTATGCAATCGGCATAAATAGTTACCTATTTAGGTGACACAGTGAAACGACATTAAATACCTTAATCGTAACCCAGAAAGCGAAGAACGAATACATCTGTAAAATATCATCAAACAAACAAACCCTTTCCAAAAGATCTATAATTTAATAAATAATTGTGGATGAAACTAAGTGACAAGTTACTAGAGCATTATTCACCCAGTCGTTATGATACAAAGCGTATCGGCGTGTGAATTCAAAAGTCGGAAATGTTTTGTTATTTTGTAAAATCTGTCATCAGTTATTCTATTAGACTCTCATCACCTTGAGCTGTTAAGCCACTATTAGTCGAATATTTAATATACTGGTCGTTGGAAATCGTAGTTCGAATTCGAGTATAACAATTTGTCAGAAAGGACTTGTTCAAGTGGATTGTTCTAGTAGTGCTTATTTCTATGAACGGGATGGTCTAATTGTAAAGCTTTCATTACCATTATATACAACATCAATAGGACTTTTTGACATTATTTTGCTAATATCAAGTTCTTCAGTTCTAATAAACATGTTTGTGATTGGTTGTCTTCACAGGTTTCTTGTACATTTGGATTCCTTTCGATCGTTTTGTTTAATTTGACCAATTACTATGTGATTAAAGGTCTTGGATGATAAATCACACCTATATTTATATATCAGCTAATTTTGTTTGGAAAAATAACGAAAGTCTTACAATTAAATAATCCTGCCCTGAGACATGAAGACCATCGAAATATTATCTGTAACCTGTTGAATTACACCATATATTGAAAGCAAATTATAATTTCGCTTTAGTTTAAGCAGTCTCATTTTTTCCTATTTTATGTAGAAATAATGATAAGACCAACTGTTTTTCCTAATGATTATCTGGTGAGATTATTGTATATATCATTGTTATTATTGTTTTAGAGAAGAGCTTTTAAATTCTGAAGAATTGTTCACACGACTGTTAAGTGTGCTTTTGAGTATTCCTGAGCTTACTACTCAATGGGTACATGTGAAAGTAAGTGTGATAATTATTAATAAGATTATCTAAATTATATATCTTGCTATCCATTAATTCTCGAGAGGACAGCATTTGAACTACTACATATTCAGAATTCAAAATATTATTCTAGAATGTTCATCCCTATTAGCAATATTTTGTATTATTATTATAAATATTATGCTTCTTTAAGTCTGATCTTAAGGAAAAAAATCCCAAAATAACTGACCTTAATATGTGACACATTTGTGGATCTTATTTTGCTTATTTTCTTGAAATAAATATCTGATAACTACTTTTGGAATAATGTTAAAATGTGGATATGAACTCATCTTTACTATCCAATGCAGTCGTAGAAGCAGTGTTTTGGTAATGATAGTCATTAAGTATTGTCAAACAAATAGTTTTATCATTTTTTGGTTTTGTTGGTTCCTCTTAGCTGAATAGTTTAATTATCAAACTAATTATCTTTCCGAACAAAATCATAAGCGCTTAATTTATTTAAAAGTGAACTGCTTCATTAATTCACAGCCGCCTGATAACCTTACCCTTTAAATGGTAATGACATTATCATCACTCTTGATATTTGATTATACTCAAACTTATGTTAGATCAATGATTTATGCTAAATTTAACTTTTAAATTAATCTTTACTTAATGCAATTATAATTGTACTGTAATTGATCAACTATTTGTATTCTGATAATTAGCTAACAACATACAAATGTATCATTTTCGGCAATTTCTTATCATGTTTTCTTCAATACAATCAAGATTATTTACGAAAAATATTTAGAAATATTATTGTTAATGGAGTAATTACAATACAGATAAATGAACCGGCTGGCGGGGGTTAACATATATGGTATTAGTAGTAATGATAATGACAACAATAAACAAAAGTCATGTTTGTATTCATTGTTATCAGTTCATAAGTTATGCCTAATGCTACTTAATAATCTTGTTGTATAGAATTTAAACAACAAAATCAATCAACCAATAATAATCTATGCCATTAAGTCACAAAATACGAAATTTTTATTGACACAAATAATTATAATAATACTGAGAAACAAAACAGAAATAACATTGACGCTCATCTCTTGAAGGTCATTTGAAAATGGTAAAAGTTGTAGAAATTTTATCTGACAACCTTGAAAGTTTCATTATCAATCTATGTGACGATTAATAATGATAGTTTTTGTGTATTTGATAGTTTATCATGTCCTTCTAGTGATATCACTTACTTACGACCGTTACTCCTAATGGAGCTTTCGTAGTTCTCCAAGTTTCCACCCCATACAGTAGAACTGTCTTGACATTTGTATTGAAAATCCTGACCTTTGTGTTGGTTGACAGTTGCTTTGAGTTCCAGATGTTCCTCAGTTGTAAATATCCTGCTCTTGCTTTGCCGATCCGCGCCTTCACTTTTGCATCAGATCCACCGTGTTCATCAATGATGCTGCCCAGATATGTAAAGGTTTTTACATCTTCCAAATCGTCTCCGTCAATTGTGATTGAATTAGTGCATTCTGTGTTGTATCGGAGAATCTTGCTTTTTCCTTTGTGTATATTGAGACCTAATGCTGCTGAGGCTGCTGCTACACTGGTCGTCTTCTCAGTGATATCATAGAATACATGAAACCGATAATTCAGTAATGATGAAGTTAGGTATATGGCTAGTGATCCTCTATCGACTAAGATGGTTAGGACATGCTTCATACATCTCGAGCAAACTGAATGATGCTACTGATTAGTGTACTGTATCGTGTCAATACAGATGCAAACTTTTTCATAAAGTAACAATATATATATATATATATATATATATATATATTGGGTTGGTGTCTGACGAAATCTTAGCACGGATTCGAAAAGCTCGTTTGGCTTTTGCCAACTTACGTAACCTATGGCGAGGGCGAGATATCTGTCTATCAATAAAAGGACGAGTACACTGCGCGGCAGTCCTTTCTGTTTTAATTTACGGCAGCGAAACACTGCCATCAAGAGTAGAAGATAATCGTGAGCTACTAGTATTTGACCACAGATGCCTCAGAAATATTGCTGGCGTCTGCTGGGATCACTGGGTAAGTAATAGTGAGGTTAGACGCAGGGTATTAGGGAAGGATGGTAAATCAGTCGATGAGGTTGTAAATCTCCATTGACTGAGATGGTTAGGTCACGTGTTACGTATGCCCGAACACCGATTACCACGACGTGCAATGCTAACCGGTGTTGGGGATGGGTGGAAGAAAGTTAGGGGTGGCAAAACCAAAACGTGGCATCAGTCCTTGAAGTCAATAACTCCTGGTCTGAGTCATGTCGGTCGATGCAGACTACTTGGTTGGGGTCCGCGTGACTATTGTAACTAATGGTTGTAGACTCTGGGTGACATGGCTCAGAATCGATCACAATGGCGTCGGCGTATACACCCTTTGTCTTCGCTTAAACTGTGAGATTAAATTTGCCTCATATCTTTCTTTCTACGAATGAATTCTTTCTTCCTGTACTATGTCCTTATATGCAATCTTTCTTTTATATGTTACCACCACTGAATTAACTACTTTTATGAATCCGGTGTTCATCTTGTTGTGTTAATGAGGTATGGCAACTTGGACTGATGCATAAATGTGCCTGGTCCTACGTTATAGCTGACTGTCTAACTATATCACACCGAACGGAAGTGAACATTGTAGGACATAATTCAGCTTAGATCCTAGAGGTCATGATTAACACCACTTGATTGAGAGTGAAAATTAATAACATGCATAGCTAAACTGTTAAAGTGAATTGGGAAGAAGTCATGTAAATGGGGAAAATGATAAATGTGGAGTAATGCATTGTTCAAGACTTGAAGAAATGTTAGAAAAAAATAAGACTGGGGCATCGGGACCGGCTTTTAGGTATGTTACCTAGTTTATTGAACAGTAACCCGTATTTTCCTCTCTCTGATCTTAACTATTCCGTACGAACTAAGGTTTAAATCTAGTAATCTTATATAGATCGATGATACTATGTTTCAATTTGGTTATAATTCAGTATCATTAAGTGTTTTTTAATCTGTAACAGTCCTAGGCAATATAGTGGGGCGAACTATTTATATGTGTAACTTATTTTGATGAATTTAACGAACCGCTAGATATTCGCTTATGCAGGTGTAATATTTCCAGCTGTCTAATAATTTTTCACAAATTGTAGTGTACTGAGAAAGTAGACTATTGCAACTAATTCTGGAATTTCTTCATTGATTAATGAGGGTTAAGCTAAATATTCGAGAATAAAGAATTATTTTCATATGAGAATGCATTATGAAGTTAATTTTAAACTCTTGCTATTACATGATTTATAGGATATTCACGTTTATCATATTGTTATGCATTCGATTAACTAAAAATTTACATATCTAATTAGAAACATTTCGGTTCGTTTTTGTGAAAAGTTGATGTTTCTAGTATTTTTGATTTTGATTGGATATTTCTCTGGACTCTTAGTATCGATTCAACAGACATTTTTTAGTGAACTGGTCAAGATCAATAATAAACGAAAAAAGTGACAGAATCATATCTCTTCGCTGTTTGAAAAATCTTCTGTTCTTCCGTCTCCTAAAGTGATCAATTGTCAGTTTCTTTATTGACTAACTTTTAATTTCACTTAAATCTTTTCCTTTTTTTCTAAGTATCATTAATGAATCGAAACTTATGTTAATTTAATTCGGTTATTTATTTGCTCTGAAGAGGTAGCTTACATTAAACCATGAAACGTAAGAAATACAATTCTTCTAAGGAGTGTTGGGTTAAAGAACTGAACTTTAAACTTTTGAGTAATAGTCGGAAGTTCAATCTCTCTCTTAGCAGAATTCGTTTCTGCAACCGGATAATTTGATTGAAATCTTAATACGAATTGACACTTGGTTACTTAATTGCGTAAAGAACATTATTTGAGTTTACAAAACCTATTAATTTAAAAAAGAAAAGAAAAGAACTTAGTTTTCTTTCGGTTGTTCGTAGGGACTATTCAAATTTCGAGATACTTTTCGTTACAGACTGACTTCAGCCGAATAACTTGGTGATAGTGCTTAGTTATGACTCCTATGGCGACGGAACTTAGCACATTTAGTGAGTATCATTAGCAAGGTTAGACTTGTTAATTTCAAGTAAATTCGGAATTGAATAGAATTTTTGTAATAAAGTGATGATGTATTTTTGTTATCCTTGGGTAAAAATTGGAATTTCTGACATTTCATAACTTAGTGTAAGCTACTTTTTTTCAGCATAAATAACTAACTCGGTCAAGTCAATACAAGTCCAAATAGTATAGAAGGACAGGCAAGTATTTAATTCATTCAGACTTCAAATAGGTCTGTTTATGTCAATATCATGTTATTTTTAATCAATTTGATTCTATGTGAGACAAATTTAGGTTAATTAAAGGTACATTCTAAAGCGATATCACGATCACAACGAAACCACTTAATAAGATCGATCTCGTTAGAAGTCACGAGTCATTACTTTCAAATAGTTTTCAATTTCGACTTTAATAGCTACTTAATTATCTCTAGTTTTCACAGGATCTCCAACACAATCTCAACTCATTTTTTAATCTATATAATCTGATTCATTTTTAATTGATTTAGCGTACTACTACTGATTTGTATCAATAGATAAATCATATAAAATTAATGCAATCATCACTAATATACAAATAAAAGTGTATGAAAAAAGAAATAATTTACTTTTGTAAAATATGTTTTCCTTATGATAAAAATATCTATTTTCTTTTTCTATTAATATATGTGATACTTTAATAATGAATTGTTTCCAAGTGCTGACGACGTCATTTTTTTTTCACTTTTCATTTTCATAAAATCATACCCACTTACATTTTTATATTGAAAAAAATGTTTAAATAACATTTCAAGTTATATTATCAACCAATGAATTATTCATTCATAACATAAATATTGAATCCTCAAAAGTTGGCATATTTCATGTCTGTCTGTTGAACCAGAAAGAATGAAA